CCACACCCAAACCTCAGGAGCAACATCTGAAACTTGCTGTAGAGCAACAGCTGCCAAGCGAATGACACAGTGCCGGACTCATTCAACCCGAAGGCTGCACAATGCTATAAGAAATGTTAATGAAGATCCTAATACCATATCAGTTTAAGAGTTTGTCCAGGCAGCTCAAGATACCAATTACATATTTAATCATCCGCGCCTCCACACGCTTAATGACCTGATTTTTACCCCCCATTATAATTAAAACAATGATTGTAACTCAGCTCAATTACAAATCAGGTCCTTAAGCATTACTTGTCCTCACTGACACCAGTGAACAAAAGCTATTAATCCACACAGGGGATGTGGCGAGTAACTAGTCCTGTCTGACTGGCTCATTTGGCCTAGTTTCCTTTTTGAGATCGAGCTCTGGTGCGAACCAAAGCAACTGTGCTATGATTATCTAAAGATGGTATAAAGAGCAGTTTGACTGTGTGCCCAGTGGGATCCATCTTGTGACACAGTGGGGCGGTGTCTGGAGGCCAGTTTAGACAAACCCTACACTCTCTCTTTTATCCTTTATCTCAGCTGCTCTCTCTCTCTTTATCTACATTCGTGTTTGTTGCAGCTTCTTGGTTCCTCTCTTGGCTTCTATCAGAGTTGTGATCGGGAAGGACAAAATAAGGAAAGCTAGGGAACAACAATAAAACATGAAGGGCAATTGCAAGGCCAAAGCCCTTAAATGACCCATTAAGAACACACCATATCCCAACTTTCTCCCCCTGTTGCATCTCTATTTCAGTTTAGACTAAAGACATGTCCAGACATTACAGTTGAAGGAATGGCAGGAATGAGAGGAATTCCGGGGCATTCCCATCTCGGCACAGTCAGCTCTGAGTGAGAAGGCCGCTCCCTGAATAACAGAGAGAGCTGAATGAAGAAACTAATGCATTAATCAGTCATAACTCTTTTAACTTGCAACTGACCCTTGTTATGTTTACTCAGTCTAGCAGACACACGCGATGAGAAATACTGAGTTTACACTATCAAGCCCACAGAAAGATACAGCAGCGCTCCGAAACTACTCTAAAAGATATAACTTTATATACACATATACACACACACACATATCTACATATTTATATCTCTGACAATCTACTATTAATTATATGCCAATATATTGCAGTTGAGGGTGCAATGTGATCAAAGAATATTATAAGGTTGCATGGAGCGATGCCTCTGCTGCTTGTGTCTGGACAAAGTCTTGGTGTTGGAATGCTGCAAGAATCTAAACTACCGTGTGCTTAAACGTGCACACCGTAGGTTAACTGCTGTGTTTGTGTGTGTGTGTGTGAAAGAGAGAAAAAAACAAAGCTCATTCAGCCTTCTAGGGGAAGACAAACAAGGAGCGAATGGTTAGTCCTGTGTTGTTATGGTAATGCCCAACTCAAAAAGAAACGACGATGACACACTATAACCTAACACCGCTGCTGCGACTAAATGCAAGCACTGTCACGAGTATTTTTAAGTGTCAGAGAGAGAAAGGCTAATAGAGTCAAACAGGTTTCAGAGAGCATACTGCTTTCGACAGATACAGTACATAACAGGCACATCTGCCAAGAAAAAAAGGGCAAAAAAACCACACTCTTGAACACAACAGAGCCTCAAAAATAGCATGATGACGCTGGGAGGGAAAGAGAAGTCTGTAATTCAGCAAGGAGCCTATATAGTGATTAAGTCCCATGTAGAAAATGCAAACACACACCACCCACTCTCACTGGCTTTGTCGCAACACTTCCTGTCAGAGCAACTGCTTCCAACAGCAAAAAAAACGAAAACAAAACACCACAGATCTTACATCCGTGCAGCAAACAAACCCTTATCTTAATCATTGACAAATCAATATTTAGTTGACTAACCAAGGAAGGGGAACTGTTTATGCAAGACTGTACAATCTGCCTCTACGGTTCTCTTTGCACAGCAGAAATTTGCTTTAAAAGGGTATAATCACATTTCCCGTCACCAGCGAAGAAAATATATGTCTGTGGCAACTGAGAGAAAGATGATCAAACAGACCGACACCCTCCTCTCTTACAGTCACCATTCCAGCAGTGACTGAACTCCCATAGGTCACGAGGCCACCCTGAGCAGCCATACCACATCCCAACCCCCCTTAACCATGGCAACCACATCACGTGACCATCTCCCATGACCAGCAACCACTGACAATCCGGGGCCATCTGTAAACCTGAAGACCACTGATTTCCTGTTTGCTGCGATTGAAACTAATAGCTAAAAATACGCTAATTAAGCTGCTTACATTAAAAAACAACAACACTGCAATTCAAGTATGCAAACATGTGGCTGCAACATACCGAAACTTAATCATCAAAAAGCTGGAACCAATTAAACTCACAACCGCACAGAGCCGATATTAGTGCTGAGCTGTGCAAAAAGTTAAAAAAAGGGCAGGAAGTAAAACTTTCACCTTCTTAGATAGATAAAATGAAACAGGAACTCGACAGGCCCCTTTCTCTCCAAAGGGCAAATTCTTCTGCTATCAGATGTTTATACCACAGCAAGAGACTGAAGCGGTGCAGCAGTCGAAGATGGGGGGGGGGGTACATTTACAGTATCTGGAGCATT